CCTTATGCCTTCTTGAGAAACACTTTCCACCATCATTTTTTGATGTGATGATTCATTTAACCGTTCATCTAACTAGGGAATTAAAATTATGTGGTCCAATATTCTTTAGATTGATGCACCCTTTCAAAAGGTTTATGAAGGTTATTAAGGGGCACGTGTGAAACAAAAATAGATGAAAAGGATGCATTGCAGAAGAGAATGTTGCAGAAGAGATGATTGAGTTTTAGTGAATTCCTCAAAAAGATGGATATTGTTGGTAGTCCACCTGACAATCATAACACATGTGGAATTCAGAAAAGTGTAGATAGTAGTTCTATTATGGACGGTACTCCTCTATCAGCTGCTAAATCGGTAGAAGTTGTTGCAGAACTATTCAGCAAAGCACATTTCTTTATATTGCAAAATACATCTAAAGTACTCTCGTATATCAAGTAAGTTTTTTTACACGTATGTTTTTTTTGTTATAATATAAACATTAATGTATTAGCAGACGACACACGACATTTTTGCAACATCAACACCCTACTAAACGAAAGGCACAACTACAGCAAGAGCAGAATAACACATTTGGTCATTGGTTACGAAAGGAGATATATTGTTTCCATATATGTTGTATTCTTTGTTATGTATTTCTTTATATCTTAAATTCATAATCTAATTACTATTCAGGTAAAGAGAGAGTTAGGGGTCAGTAGAGAAAGTATTACAGAGACAATGAGATGGATTTCACATGGACCTAATAAGAACATTATTAAATACGATGTATATGCTTCTAATGGATATACTTTTCGTACAAAAACTCATGAACGTAAAGTTTACCAAAACAGTGGGGTTAGTGCCATTGCAACTGACACACACATCAGTAAAGAAGTTGTCACATATGCCAAAAACACTTATTGTGGTGTTTTATAAGAGATATTTGTACTAGATTATCATTTTAAACAAATTCCAATTTTCATGTGTCACTGGATTGACAGTAGAAATGGGGTAAAAAAGGATAAATTGGGGTACACAATAGTTGAACTAAAAAGATTAGGCCATAAAGGTGATCCCTTCATATTGGCCTCACAAGCACAAAAAGTATTTTACGTGACAGACCCACTCGATCAAAAAATATCTACTATCTTCAACACACCTCCCAAAAATTACAGAGATACATATGAGGATGTAGATGAAGAATTTAGTATTGTAGTTCCTCATAATGATAATATAGTGCTAAAATGAAACAACAATGAATATGTTAGTATTTAGTACTTGATTTTTAAATATAATATGATATGCAGTTAAAAAAAGTGAAGAAAATATTTACTGTAATCTCTTCCCATAGTTTCTCATTCAATTCCGGTTTACTTTCTTCAAGCAAAGAGCATTTAATCCCACCTTCTCGCAGACAAGATCACCCAAATAACTAACAAACACTGAATTATTCTTCCCTGTAAACTTACCGAGTTCATTAAACTTGACATGTTTTTTTTCTACCACCAGAATTGACATAATCAGTCTTCAGCTTTGGCAATCGAGTCATGCCCCTCTTCCTATTTGACCTTGTAGGAACTTTGTGTCGGATTTCTTCTTCCGAATCTGAATGGCTATTGTAGTCAATGTCCTTATTTTCACCATCTTCTATGTCTGAATTATATACTTGGTTTCCATCATCTTGCTCATATTTTGTATCATAGTCGTGCATATCCTCATGTTGTTCCTTGTTCACCTCCATGATTCTTCTGTTGACATGACACATAGTAAATAAGTTTGATTATTCATATGTTTAAGGAAATGGTATGATTAACTTATATTACAAACAAATTTTGTGACAACCCAAAATTTCCATTATGTACGAACTTTATCAAGTCAATAGAAGTTAGAACAGTCACAGTAAATTTTCAGACTTTTCTGTATAAGTTTGATTATTTCAGGATTTACACTTAAGGAGATATCAGGAGATTGGATGCACTAGGGTTTTGAGCAACTCTGTTATTCCAAAACTCTATTATATTAGAGTTCATTGTGTGAATAAAAATATTTTCTGCCAAAAATCCCAAGACTATATATATGATTCTTAACCAAATTATTTCATTAGTTACATTTCCAACTAGAAAAAAGCCATTTCTCTCTATTGGATCTTCGGGTTTTCATCGCAAATTGTGAGTACCTTTCTCTAGTTTCTTAAGTGCTTAATAACATAGAAATCATAACGAAACCACAAGATTTGAGAGTGTACTGCCCAAGAACACCTTGGGGAGTAAACTCTTTTACAAGGGTTAAAATGATGCCTAGTCCTTTCCCTCTTAATATGTAACCACCTTAGGCTTGTATGCTAGTGTTGTTAAGACTAGAAATCATCCAAGAACACCTAGATTTAGGTGTTCACGGCCCAAGAAGTTCATGGACTGTGAACTCGAAACTCAAAGGCCAAAGAGTTCCTTAATCACTCCTAAAGCCTTGGACAATAGCCTTGATTTACTTCTAGTGAATTAAGGGACTTTAACTCATCAAATGCCCATACCCATGAGAGATTACGGCTGTAATCTCTAAGGGAAATGATCTTTGGGCCGTGAACATAAAGGAAGGGTACCGAAGTGTGCCTAAGGCCTTCATTAGCCTTACATAAATGTCTAGAACCTATCCTACATGAGCATGGGACTTGAAAGCATAAAAACACCCCTCTTCATATGAGTTTACTTCAGTAAACTCAAAAGGAATTGGCCTTGGGGCTGTGAACTCCTCAAAGGAGTGTATAAGTGCCCTAAACCCTTCCAAGAATTAATCCACCAAGTAGGAATGCTTCTAGGGATCATTTAGAACTTCAAAACACCAAAGGACATTAAACTTAGAAGTTCACGGCCATAAAATCAAGGTTTTACGACCGTAAACTCCTTGTGTGGGGTTTATTGGAGAGTAAACTAATGCATGTGGTCCCTTGGAACCCTAAACTCACTAGCCTTGTCCCACAACAACT